GAGGCTGAATTATTAGTAGAAAGTCTTCATTCCCTTAAAAATCTAGTTCACAGTAGCCATGTGGAACCTTATCCTGAAGGCCCGTGGCTTCTTCTGCCTACCATATTATTTTTTTAGAGATTTTTGCTATAGGGCATGTGCACTCACCAAAGAGACAGAGAGACAGGAAGCAAGAAATCACTCCCCAGGAGGGGATGGCCACACCGCAATCCCTTCTTCTCTATCCTCCTCTCAAGCATGCACACACACATGCCCGGTGTGAGTTTTAAGCTACTGAGTTTGGGACTTGAGCCATGGTCGACTATGTAGGGAGTCCAGCGATAAAACCATTACGCCATCTGCTGGTTCCTTAAATACCATTTTTAAACTATCATTTTTGTGCAGTTTGCTGCATGTAGGGCAAGTTTAAGTCTCCACATCGCTAAGTCACTGGCCATGGTGTGGAGGCAGACAGGTGAAGGGGCCAGGACTGTGGCACCTGACTCAGCCACGCCACAGCTCTCTGCAGGGGTTCCTTTTGTCTCCTATTCTAAGCGGTGGGTGTGGAAGAAAACTGGCGAGGTGCACACACTGCTCACCTGGATAGAAGGGAACAGACTGTGGACCAGCAGATGGCATAATGGTTACGTTGCTGGACTCCCATATAATCAACCGCGGTTCGAGTCCTGGACCCGGCAGCTTAAAATATGCTGGCTGTGTGTGCATGCATTCCCAAGGTCCTGAGAGGGGACTAGAGGAGAAGGGATTGTCCTATAGCAAAAACCTCTCTTAAAAAAAAAAAAAAAAAAGAAGGGAGAAGGCTGCTGGGCCAGCAGGTGGAAGCGAACTGATTAGGGGGCTTGCATTATGGGTCAGTACTTTGTCTAATATTGTGATTGGAGATAGCATTCCGTGACTTCGTGAGTAAACTCTGTCCTTCCTAAGCTTATCAACATTAAGAAAGTAAAATAAATAAGCAGTAAAATATAACTCCTTTATTAAATGACGGGAAAAAATCAGGCTCTTTCTGCCTGGTAAGTTCCATGTGTATGTGAGTGGAGCTTCTGAATGTGTTTGACCTGATTCAAGCATGTTTTCTGTCAGGCATTTGGATTCTCATTTCCACCGCTTCTCCTTAGGTTAGTCTGTTTTCTTTTCTTGAATTCGGCAGCTCGATGGGAATATGATAGATAGTCCTGGGTTTGCGGACTGATGACACTCACTCACTCACTCACCGACCACCGCACCGTGCATGCGTGGTACAGAACTGGGGATTCATGCTGCTGAAACCCTTCAGGGTTGGCGGTCTTCAAGGGGAAAAGCCTTTGATTTTTGCATGCCCTGGGACAGCTCATCACAGTTAACCCTCAGAAATATTGGCCAGTGAACGTCTGAATAAGAAGTAGCTACACGGGGCCAACCCATAGCTTGCTGGCTAAGGAACTGGGTCACTCATGGCTAATCATGCGGTTCGAATCCTGGACCTAGTGGCTTGGGAAGCATGCCAGGTGTGGGCGTATGCACGTCCAGGATCCTGAAAAGATAGAGGAGAAAGGATTGCCGTGTGGCCGTCCCCCATGGTGGACACTTTCTCTCTCTCTCTCTCTCTCTCCCTTCCTCTCTCTCTCTCTACTGATTGCACACACCCCCAGGCAAATTAAAAAAAATAAAAATAAAAGAGCCATAAGAGATCTGGCCGTAGGATTCCACTGCATCTCATGATTTCTAGTAGGCCTGGCCGATTCCTTGCAATGGAATCCACAGGAAACCGGTTGTACCATTACATCACATTTTGTACCTGCCGGTTTGCAGGTTTGGGCCTCACAGGAGAAAAGCCAGTACCATCAAACATGTTTTCCCCATACTGTGCAGTGTCTGCCCCCCAAGCTGAAGGCATTCCTCCCAGGCACTGTGCCTGTGAGCTCACCCTGCCCCTCTTCTCTTTCCACAGCGCTCCCAGTCTGCGTTCTCCATCACCGGGGAAGATGCTCTGAAGACCTCTTCCCTGGAGGCTGCATCGAGACAGCTGAGGGATCGGGGCCAGCACCCACGGGAGGACCCTGGCCTGCCCAGCTGGAAGAGCATGGACAGGCTGCATAAAACAGGTGTCTGCTTCCCTCAGTGTCTAGTGATCTGTGGGCTTCAAAGGGGATTGGGAGGCTTCTTAGCCGTTGCAAGATCATTCAGCGGCCCCTCCTGTAACTCTGAGTTAGTGGGTGTTCGTTGGGCAGCTGAGGCACTTGGTCCTGAGCCCCTAGCACAGCACACATGTAGAGTGCTCATGCGTTCCCTGGGCAGTGTCCTAGTCTCTACGGCAGATTGAAGGCTCCTGATATGTCATCAGTGTGCCATGTTCTTTGCTGGGACTGTGGGACAGTGAAGGGCTCCTGGGTGGGTGTGTTAAAACTACTCACTGTAAGGTCCCCCTTCAGCTATTCTGTTGTTGCTGCTGCTGCTACAGAATACGTGTGCCCACCTAGAGAGAGACAGAAAAAGCGAGAGACAGAGAAAGTACCCCCAGTGGGGCGTGGTCATGTAGCAATCCTGTCTCTATTTCTTCATCCTATCAGGATTTTGGACACTGGTCTTCAAGCCACTGGGGCTGAGACTCTAACTTCACGGATAGCCATTTGGGACCCATCCCATTACACCACCAGGCCATGAGCCCAGCCTTGATTTCAGCTGTTCTGTGTGAACTAAAGGAATGTGTTGTATGTAGACCAGGGTCAGTGAACCAACCTATCAGGGCATGTCAACTTTCAAAGGGATTTGGGTCCCAACCTAAGTCTGGTTTTAAGGTTGTTCTTTCTGAAACCAGATCAATTGGGGTAATACCTATTGCTATAACAAGTAAACCAAACATCAGAGTGGCTTAACTCTTGATCCCACTTTGTGGGCAAGAACTAGTCAAGTGCCCCTCCATGTAGGGGGATGTGGAAAGTGTGTCCTGGCTGGGCTGACACATCCTGGCAACATCACTCAGCCATTGAAGGTCTTTGATCTGACCATGCCATACCTGAGAATGGCATTGTTGTTCACAGGGCCTGAGCTATATTCCTGCTCCCTTCTAGAATGTTCTGCCTCTACATGGGGCAGTTGAAGTCAACTCTTCAGAGCATCCTCAACATCTATGACACATAGTTCTTTTGAAGATTCTGAGTCATGCAATTCCTCAAAATGAAGAGAGTTTAAGTGGCTGAATTACTTTTCTCAAGTCACTCATCAAAAGACTGTGAGCTACTTGGAGTGATGAGAGTAACAGACCCCCCAGGCTCAGGGATCTCTTAGACCATTTGACTATTAGTATAAAGATGCCCACCCCACTCCCAGCAAGGGTCCATTCCTGTCCTTGCAGAGTGTATAATGGAGGCCAGGCACATCTGTCCTCACGGGAAGGAACCATTAACAGGATTCTCATCTAGGTTGGATGCCAACTCTAGACCACTTTCCTCTATAACAAGAACAACAAAAGATGAACAGCTCCTTTGAGCCATCCTAGAAAGAAGCTTTTAAATATTGTGCTACTAGGACCAGCAGGTGGTGGAGTAGTTACGTTGCTGGACTCCCACGTACTCAACCACAATTGGAGTCCCAGACCCAGCAGCTTAAAACTCACGCCGGGCACATGTGCGTGCGTGCCCAAGAGTCCAAGAGGAGAATAGAGGAGAAAGGATTGCAGTGTGACCATCCCCCCTGGGGGTGATTTCTCGTTTTATGTTTCTCTGTATCTTTCTGTCTCTCCAGAGAGCACACATGCCCTGTAGCAAAGATCTCTCAAAAAAAAAAAAAATTGTGGAACCACCAGTTAGCATAATGGCTATGTCGCTGGACTCCCATGTAGTCGACCGCGGTTTGAGTCCCAGACCTGGTGGCTTAAACTCACACCGGGCATGTGTATGTACATGCCCAAGATCCCGAGAGGAGAATGGAGGAGAAGGGATTGCGGCATGGCCATCCCCCCTGGAGGGGGGATTTCTCGCTTTCTGTCTCTCTGACTCTGTCTCTCTGGCAAGTGCACACGCCCTATAGCAAAAACCTCTAAAAAAAAAAAAAAATTGTGCTACTATTTCTACTCTCTTAGGGAAAAGATTTAGCCAAAGCTATATAAACACAATCCATTGTTATCGGTGTGAAGAATCATTCTAGATGTTTTCCAAAAGAAATCATTTCCATGTTAATCTTTTCATAGAAACTGCAGAGTTGTGGCATGGTGGAGATCCTAACACACGATATTGTCTTCATTTGTGTATGTGGTTTTGGTTTCTGTTTATTAAGTGCATTTTTCTTTCTAGATATGCCATTCTTTTCTCCTGCTGCCCAGCATATTAACATTGATTTATTCATTCATATTCTTCCCTCTCTTCCTCTCTCTCTCTCTTTTTTC